ACTTCCATATGCCTAGTTTCCACTTCTATGAAAGAGATTGACAGAAAAATGTAAAACAACTCTCACGTAAGTTTTAAGCACAAGGTGGATGATGCCAACATTTTTCATTGAAAGAATGAACACATTTCAGGTAGGTGTAGGGAAGGTTTGTTAGTATCCCCCCCCGGAATCATCCTGATGGGTCTCTCCATCCTTTGAGCTCTTCTTCCCATTAGAGAAGCTCTGATGAAGCACCTAGGTTGAAGGAAATCAAATGTTGTCTTCCAACATGACGCAATACACGTGTCAGGTAACTGGTGCATCTCCTGGAGTTGATTTCTTTTCTCCCTTTATTCTTGAACTCCAGTAAAAATGCTCTTCCCAGGAAGAAGGTAGTAGCAGCCAAGTTCATGATCATGCAGATGGTTCAATGCTGACAGGTGCTAAAGTTGACCATACTTTTCTTAGTCAATTTCAAATGAAGATATGATCTCTGTGAATCTGACCCTTTCCAGTGAAAAGCACATTTATATAAACCTAGAATTTATAAATCCTGACAGATTCCATGATATTTATAGACCTTCCTTTAAAAAAAAAAATACACCTTTGCCAGTCTGCAAAATTCTGTCATTTGACTCTTTGATTATGCTTAAGGGAGTTTAAATAACAATAAATTTGGTGATTTATATTCCACCTGGAAAAGAAACTTATCCTTTCTACCCCCCACCCCAACCTCTTGTGGGCTCATTTTGAAGGAGATACCTATAAATAGTGCTACAGACGCTGGAATCAGGAATAGGGAATTGAAATTTGAGAACAAAGTACAGAAACATTTCCATTATCACTGATTTCTTCAGTATATTTCTAAAACATGACTGTTCTCTCCTGTCTCTGGCCTCATCTCAAATGATACTTGAGTCTCCCAAACCTGTTGCCAACTCAAGGATTCAATTGCATTAATGGGAAAGAGAGAAGGAGAGTAATAGCTGACTAAGTAAGAGCAAGTTGCCCCTAGGAAAGCCAAAACAAGTCTCCAATGCCCTTCTTAGATTTCCTACAAGTCAGCAGGTTGCTGGGTGTTGATACCTGAAGCATAAGTTCACTATTTTAGACCCATCTTACCGATCCAACAGGTATGATGCAACGCTCACAGTTCATGTCATAGAAAAAAAGTAGATTATCTAATTGTTAGTCCAAGAGAAACTTTAAGGATAATGTCAGGATTAATTCTTTCATCCATCCATGCTTGTAATTACCTAGTACAGCGTAAGAGGTAAATGTAGTAGTCCTCTCTTACACATAGGTGAACTTTGCACCTCTTCAGTTACTCATAGGCAGCTGAAATTCAAACTACTAAATTATAATGTTAAATATTGATATTAATTTAAAATTACATTTTTATTCTGTGTGTGTGTGTGTGTGTCTGTGTGTCTATGGTGAGATGGCTTGAACTCAGGGCCTGGGTGCTGTCCTTTATGTGTTTTACTAGTGCTATATCACAGCTCTAGTTCCATCTCTTTGGTGATTAATTGAAGAGTCACACTGACTTTCCTGCCTGGACTAGATTCCAGTTGCAGTCCTTAGATCTCAGCCTCCTGAGTAGCTAGGACTATAGGTTTGTCTCACTTGTATCCTGGCAAGTTTTATCCTTTTTCAGTGAATTTTATTCATTCATTTATTTATTCTAGTCCTGGGGCTTGAACTCAGGGCCTCATGATCTTGCTTGGATTTTTTGAGCAAGGCTGGCACTTTACTACTTGAGCCATCCTGCCACTTACAGCATTTGGATGATTAGTTGGAGATAAGTGTCTCATGGGCTTTTCTACATGGGTTGTTATCAGCAGATCCCAGCCTCCTGAGTGGCTAGAATTACAGGTGTGAGCTACCAATGTCTAGCCCATAAGTTTTAAATTATGTACTATTCTGAGTAAAGTGATACAATCTCACACTACCACTCCATCCCACCCCAGATGTGAATCATCCCTCTGTCCCATATATCCACGCTGCACACACTACATTTGTCACCTACAAACAGTTTTAGACATCAGGCTAACTGTCCCCAACATGGTAGTTACCATGTTCAAGGAACTAACACGAGCCTTCAATGCCTATATCATTTATTTTCTCATCATAGAGGCATTTCATCATCTCACACCATCACAAGAAAGATGAGTACAATGAACTATTTTGAGAGAGATCATCTTCATGTAATGTTATTACAATATAGCCACTTAATTTTTATTACAATGTATTACTTCATATATTAATCACCATCAATTTTATGACAATATGCTGTTACAATTGTTCTGCTTTATTTGGAGACATATTGCTAATCTCACACTGTCTGATTTATAAGTTAAACTCTATCAGAGATAAAAGTATGTGAAGGAGAAAAAAAAAAAAAAAACCTTGTCTAAGGGTTGAGTATCATCTGTGATTTTGAAGTATATTCTGCAGGTGATAGAATGCATCCTCTGTGGTTAAAGAGAGCCCAGGCTACCTCACGGTGGACCCCCGGTGATAGAATTTTTTGAACAACATTGACAAAATCCTGGGAGTCATTGTTCATAAACCTCTGGGAGGAGCCATTTAGTATAGCCCAAACAGCCTTCTAATATGACCAGAAGGTTTATTTCCAGTGTCAGACTTGAGTGGGCTGTAAAGAAGGGGAATAATGACAATTAACATGGGTGAAGAATGGCCTAGGGGGTAGCCCAGAGTAACAAACACACGTGGCTACAGTTTCACATGTGACACTCCCCTCATTGAGTTCAATTTGGCTGTAGATTCAACCGGTCGTGGGTTAAAAATAATGAGAAGATTAGCAAGCCCCAACATGCACACATTCTCAATCTCTCTCTAGCACTCTGTGTTTGAGTAACAGTCTCACCTCATCTTATTCACAGTATACGCAGTCACATCTATGATTCTTGTATCTATACTGATATTGTATCTGATACTGACTTGATGATATGCCCGAAACAATATAGCATAAACGTTATTTACATAACATTTGCTTTGCCATAGATATTATAACTCACACAAAGTAATTTAAAATATGTGAGAGGGGCTGAGCGCTGGTAGCTCCTATCCAATTCAGGAGGCTAAGATCTGAGGATCTGTTGGGTCTTCGTCCGTCCCACGAAAGACGGACGGGGTCCGAGGAAAGGTAAGTGTGGCGCTTGCCCGTTCCCCAGCCTCCCTCAGCCAGGGAGACAATCAGACACAGCGGGGAGCCAAATCCAGCAGGTAGAAAACTCGTTTATTAACAGAGAGCAGCCCCTTTTAAAGCCAAAAAGGGCAGATGGCGTGGCAAGGGAGGAAGAGGAACCAATCGCTGTCAAGGTCACACCCTATCATGCACCTGAGCCTTCACGGGCTGGTTAGCACTGATCGCAAGGCAAATTGGGCTCTGCCCACTCTACTCTTTCCCAGCGCCATCTTGGCTGCACATGTGCTCTACAGTTAATTGGGCTCTGCCCACTCAACCCCCTCCCAGCACCGTCTTTGCTGCCCATGTGCTCCACAAGGATCTAGGTTTGAAGCCAATCTGGAAGGAACAGTCTGTGAGATTCTTATCTCTAATTAATCAACAACAAACCAAAAGTGGAGATGTGGCTCAAGTGGTAGAACACCAGCCTTAGTGAAAAAGCCAAGTGACAGAACAAGTCCCTAGGTTCAAACCCCAGTACCAGTGCATAATAAAAATAGGCAGGAGGGAATGTGTAGGTTATATGCAAGTACTAGGTCATTTTATGTAAGGGACTTGAATAGGTGTATATTCTGGTATTTATAGGAGCCCTAGAAGCAGCCTCTTTTTGATACTGGGGATATATGTTGTAGGGCTCCTTGTCCTGCGTGATCTTTCTTAGAACACATCCCCAATCTCAAGGCTTTCTAGAGCAATCTACTTGTCTCTTTTCAGATGGCAGATGTTTGGACCAAACCCCAGAGCCTACAGTGTACCGCATTTTAATGATTTGTGGTGAATAAAGTAAATGTTTTAAAACCAGCCTTTATGAAGCGAGAACCCAGTTAAGCATGATGAATTGGAGACACAGCCAAGAGAGGCCAGACCTCATATGGAGGATCTTGTCCTAAGTAGGATACAGGTGTTTAGGGTTTGTGGTTATTTCTAAACCCCTGCTGGAAAGAATGACTTTTAAAGGGCTGTGCTGCTAAGAAATCTTCTTGAAGCAGGAAGGAATTTTCCTTGCTTCCCTTTCTTCTTGGTAATCTCTTTCCAAGATGAAGTGGAGTATTGAGCTGTTAGACAGTTGTTTTGTGTCTTTGCGCCTCTGTGGCCACATTATGGGCCTAACACATATGGGATAAATAAACTGCTTTCATTTTTAAAATGCATGGAAGGAAACAAGATGAGAAAAAATTACCATATTGCTATTAAAATAAAACAAGCTATGATAGAGGATAATCCAGTGAGGGCAAATGAAAATGTTGAGATTTCTGTTTTCTTTTGTAGCCTGTTAGCCATCACAATATGGCACAATTTGTGTTCAATGTCTTTTTCCACTATATTTATATTTATTTTTTTTAATTTTGTGTGCCAGTCATGGAACTTGAACTCAGGGCCTAGAACCTGTCCCTGAGGATTTGTTTGTTTGTTTTTGAGGAAATTTTTGTTCATTTGTTTGTTTCTCAACGCTAGAACTCTAACACTTGAATTACAGTTCCACGTCTGCCTTGTTGCTGGTAAATTGGAGATCTCACAGACATTTTCTGCCTGGACTGGCTTCAAACTTAGACCTTCAGATCTCAGCCTCCTTGGTAGTTAGGGTTACCAAGCACAAGCCACCAGCACCCAGCCCCTCTCACATATTTTAAATTACTTTGAGATTAATTTTGATACCTATCAGAAGGCAGATGATATGTAATCATTATGACAGACAGACAGACAGCTCCATCAATCCATCTCATATTTTCTTGATCTGTTCGTCCACTGCAGGCATTTGGGCTGTGTCCACCAGTGTCTTGATATGCGCCATCTTGTTCTTCTTTCTCAGGGCAATCCTTACATGTGCAATAATGAGTGTGACGCAAGTACCCCAGAGCTGGCACATCCTCCGGAGCTGATGTTTGATTTTGAAGGAAGGCATCCCTCCACATTTTGGCAGTCAGCCACTTGGAAGGAGTACCCCAAGCCTCTCCAGGTTAACATCACTCTGTCTTGGAGCAAAACCATTGAGCTCACAGACAACATCGTGATTACCTTTGAATCCGGGCGACCAGACCAAATGATCCTGGAGAAATCTCTGGACTATGGACGCACGTGGCAGCCTTATCAGTATTATGCCACGGACTGCTTGGATGCGTTTCACATGGACCCCAAATCCGTGAAGGATTTATCACAGCACACGGTCTTAGAAATCATTTGCACAGAAGAGTATTCCACGGGGTATACCACCAACAGCAAAATAATCCACTTCGAGATCAAAGACAGGTTCGCCTTTTTTGCTGGACCTCGGCTACGCAATATGGCTTCCCTCTACGGACAGCTGGATACAACCAAGAAACTCAGAGATTTCTTTACAGTCACAGACCTGAGGATCAGGCTGCTGAGACCAGCTATTGGGGAAATATTTGTCGATGAGCTGCACTTGGCACGCTACTTTTACGCCATCTCAGACATAAAGGTGCGAGGAAGGTAAGAGACACAACTAACATCTATCCGTCCTTGAATGTGAATAAGTATGTCTAAAGAAAATGTCCGGGTGTGGGTGCCAATTGTGTCCACTTCAGCTGCAACATTTTACTCAGGAACAGCAGAGTAGAAGTCGGTTTTCTAACGATATTTGAGACCCTTCGACTCAGCAGTCATGTGTAATCTCAGACTTTTGGTGTCATTGAATCTGGCAGAATTCCTGACATTTTAACCAAAAGGGGGTGCAGTGGGGTGGGGTGAGAAAGGTATCTTATTTGAGACGCAAGAACTCCCCAAGGTCAGGAGGTGGTTTAAGGCATTACAACAATAAAACCCAGGACAATAAAATCCAGTTGTTCCTGAAGGGACTAAAAAAAATAATTAAGAAGTGCATCTCACATTTTTAAATGTAAGAGTCACAACAAGATACTACACTCTGTTTATGTTTATTATATTGGATCAAAAGTGTTCTGGAAATGGAAGTGAAATGTCTTTACATGTGTTATGCAAGAACCAAAGCTTTCAGGAAAAATACATTCATGACAGAGGAGTGAGCTCTAATTTCTAAAGTTTTGCCATATTGTATTAAAAGTATGCTAAATATGAAAAATACACCTGATTTCAACACTCTTCAATTCGTAAGTCAATGGCCGCTGGACCAGAATCACAGCAGTAATGGTTAGGGTCAGGGCAATTTTGATTTTGATAGTATACTAAAGTCCAATGGCATTATGAAGAACTTGAAAATATTTAAATAAAAAACATGAATAATAACAGCCAGCACTACCAACATACAAATTTCTAACCAGCTTTCTAAGCCTAGTATGCTATGAAAATAGCCATTTAATGGGAGTCCATGTATCAGCTAATGAGTGGGGGAAAGTAGAGATGAGAGAAGAATTATAACAAATTAGGAGGGAAAAGGGAAAGCTAAGGTAAGCAATAACCACTCTAAAATAGGTTGAAATGGATGAGGATGAGGCTCAGAACATGAAAAGCATATCGTGTAGGTTTAAATAAGTATTTACAAATTTTAATAGATAAAGGAGATTTGGTCAACTTCCTGGCTTCTAGAATCCACAAGGGCTATGCAGACTTGAGAAACTGGAGGTGTTAAGACTCTGATATTTAAGAGTTGGGATACATGGAAGAACAGAAGGCATTAGTGTTAATAAGGTGAAGGCCACAAGGGGTCCACAGAATAAACTAGGAATGACCATTCAGAATGATTTTGAAGGTTTCAGGAAACGTAGCTAAAACTAGGGACATCTTCCTTGTTCTAGTTTCTTAGTCCTTATGGAAAAATCAAGAGACTAGCTATGGGGTCTTATTTATAAAATTTTATCCAAGGCCTTGGTGGTGTATGAGCAAGATATCTTGAAAGCAAAGTTAGTTTTTTGAGAGACATATGCACGGATACATTTGCATCAGCACAATATTCCAGGAAACTGAGAAGAGTTCACATATTAGCAGAGCTCTATAGCAGGACAATCGAGCTGTTGCCTCAAACATGAAGCGACTACACATATTACTATATGTATAATAAAATGCTATTATACTCAGGAACATTTTGATAAAGTATTATCAGTTGAAAATACCCTATGCTCAGGACTGTAGGATAGATGAAAATAATGGCTATTGTAAACAATAGCATACCAAAAGCAAGCAGCAAGTAGTCAATTCATCTGTAAGAATAAAGGTTAAAATGAATCAACTGAAATTTGAATTTGAATCCCTAGTGTGCTCTGTATGGTAAGATTCACGTAGGTCAGTTTCCAGGCAATATGAGAAATCTTTAATCTGAGCCCAAATGGCTACAGACCAAGTTGTGCCAAACATTCTCATTTGCCACTGTCAATAAGGCAAAGAAGCGTTGGAGGTAGGGAAATAGCCAGCTTGGTTTGTTACTGAGTACTCATTTAGCTCTTTGCTGATTATTTAAAAGGAACTAAAAAGTCTGGTGCCAGTGACTCACACCTGTAATCCTAGCTATTCAGGAGACCAGGATCTGAGCATCATGATTTGAAGCCAGCCAGGCAAAGGAAGTCTGTGAAACTCTTATCCAGTTACTAAAAAGATGGAAGTTGAGCTGTGGCTCAAGTGGTAGAGCAGTGGCTTTGAGAATAAAAGCTCAGGGACAGCATCCAGATCCTGAGTTCAAGCCCCAGGACTGGCACACCTTCACCCACACCTACCTTCCCCACCTTCCCCCACCCTGCAAAAGAAAGGAAATGTAAAGCACTTTTTATAGCCAAAGGCATCTTTATGTATTCTCCACTGGATTAGCCAGGCCATCCTCTAAAGGTGGCAAGTGACAAGCACAGAGTGCCCCGGATTTTCCACATTTCTTTTATCCCCTATCCTAGCAGCAACCTCCAGCGGCATTTCAGAGTTCTGAGAAGTTTGCAGAAGCTTTCCTTCCTTCTCTGAGATTCACCTCCACTGTCTTTTCCTGTCCACCAGTCAGCTGTGAGCTGGTAGGAAGCAGCTGGGCCATAGAGAAAGGTCCAGCAGAGGTGAGCCCCGTCCATACGGTCCCACTCTGTCACCTCCACACTCTGTCCAAATTCCTCAGGGCCAAATTGATGCTGGCAGGTCCTGACTAGACACCAGATGGCTGGAGTATTTTAGTCTTAGGGGAAGGACTAAAGAAGCAAGGCCTCATGGCTCAGGCATGTCTCTAACTTTGAAGTTATGTAAGGAAGGTCTGCTCGTACTAATAACCCTAACAGAAAATGATGAGCAATAGATGGTCCTTGAGACCATTCATCCTAGATGCTAATGTCATTATTTTACTTCTGAAATAATTTAAGAAGGATCAGTGGTCTGCCCTAACTTTCCCTACATACCAAATCACTTACAGAAGGAATGGAAATTAAAACAAATGCTTCCTAAATGAAAGTCTAAATGTTTTAGCATACAATGATGATCTCTGTTTCCTGTGTATCATTCCCACTATCCCATGAAATGACTCTCATTTGAGATGTGTCTGTCAATACCTGATAATGATCATGATATTCTTCTACTTGTAACTTTCAACCTCATCCCACCACATGTGGGAACTGATATGTTACTTGGTGAAAGTGGAAAGAATACCAGAAGTAAATAACTGTAGAAGAGTTAGCAGAGAATACAAAAATCTATCCTCAGGAAACATTAAACTATCAATAAAAGCAGTTGTACATCTTTGAAAGGGACTATGAATTCCAATTCTTGTTAATGTATGTGTGTATTTGTACTGACCAATTTGGTATAATTCCTGTGTGTATGTGTGTGTGTGAGTGTGTGTGTGTGTTTCTGATACCATGACTTGAACTCAAGTCCTGTGTTCTAACTTGGCGCTTTTTGTTCAAGGCTGGCACTCTACCACTTACAGCTTTTTGAAACTTACTTGGAGATCAAAGTCCCACAAACTTTTCTGCTTCAACTGACTTTGAACCTCAACCCCCTGGAAAGCTAGGATTATAGGCCATGAGTCACCATTGTCCAGGGGGAAAATACTTTGATTATTATTAGACTAATACAGCCTGGTGTTCCTCATAGCATATGATGCACCTCATACCTATTTTTATGGGACAAACTATAATCTCATGATTAAAATTTTATTTCTCTTTTACTACATACATATTTTGCTTCGCTTTCCCTCTTCTCATTGAGTATTTATTAAGATAATGGAGGAAAAAAGAGGAAACATGGCTATTGGCAATCTCAGCGACTCCATAATACTTACATCGTTCAATAAACCTAATAATCTTCACAGACTAATTCTGACTTATGGATGTCCTGCTTCAGTAAATCAGGGTGATTTTCTCTAGTGACTAATAGATGAGTGCAGTGTGCCAGTACCTTAATTAAAGAGCTACTCTCTCAGTCTTGATCTCATTTTAATTTACAGGGTAATACTACAATAATATCACTAATGGAAGGTACATTAAGGGGCATCAAGTAGCATTAACTGTATTAAATTATGGTACTTGTGTTAATTAACTGCTGAAGCAAGATGGTTTTAATGGCCAAAAAGGTCGCCGAGTGCATAAATAAAACCTAACTGGATAAAGGGTGAAAGGAAAAAGGAAGAGGAGATGTTTGTTCTGAACATCATTTCAAACAGACAGGGGGTTAAATTCAAAAGCTATTAAATGCGGATAATGTCCAAAATGTTTCTTACTTAACAGGGCTGAAGGTTTTGATATTTTTTTAAGGATGTTGTTTTCTTCCAAGATTTCCATAATTGCATTAATGAAAAAGTTGAACACTTTGCCAGATGCACAAATTTTATTCAAATATAAACTCAGCATTCTTTTTATTTGTTTTTGTTTTTCTGCCAGTCCTGGGGCTTGAACTCAGGGCCTGGGAGTTGTCTCTGAACTTCTTTGGTTCAAAGCTAGCATTCTACCACTTGAGCCACAGTTCCACTTCTGAGTTTTTGGTAGTTTATTGAAGATAAGAGTCTCACAGACTTTTTTTGCCTGGACTGGCTTCAAGCCGTGATCCTTCTGAGTAGCTAGAACCACCAGTGCCTGGCTACACTTAGCATTCATTGTTTCTTTGAGGTGAACAGTTCAAGGAGGTAATGTGATTTATTGTAAGAACATTTAAATATGAAAGATAAATGAGCATTTGGTAACATGCTCATTTATTCTTAAGATATACTATCAGCAATGTATCAAGCTACGGGTTTTCGACATAAGATAATAGAAATTCTACTTTAACAACAAGAACTTGAGAACAGTAATGAAAGAACTTTCCTCAGTAGCCTAAAAAAAAACCTGAAATCACTACCTCTTTTAATTGCTTTTTGCAAGATATGCCTAAAGGTCATTATCAGTATTTTTCCCCAATTGTGTGGATTTGTTTCTTTCCCAGGCTATGCTACTGTAGCTCCATATAGGTAGCTAGCTATCAAAATGATAATACTGTTGTCTGATCTTTATCCATAACTCAGATTTCTGTAGTTTTAGTTACTCGAGTCCAAAATACCGCTAAAATTCCAGAAATAAAGA